AAATGTTTTTAAATTTAAGATCGAGACCTAGAACTGCTACCATGAAGCTATTGAAGATATTGAGCGCACATTTCCGATATGAAATAACATATCAGATCTATAATTATTACTGAGTAGATGGATTTATAGACCAAAAAAAGAAGTAGTGGTTGTCGTTGGTTAATGTCGGTCAAATTTGCTGCCGTTTTTTGTTTTTTATTTTATTTTACCATTAATCAGTTGCTAGCTTTCTATACGGTATCGGTCTTGCTGATTCTTAATATATAGTAATCTCCATTTGTAAACATCATCATTCGTTGGTCTATGATGGATAGTTATCTCATTAGCAATCATACCACATCTCCTTATTTCAATATGTGGTGCTTGGTTGTGCAAAAATTGTCCGTTAACTTTCTTAGTATAAATTTGAAATATTCTTTCCTATTAACATCACCATATATTTGAACAATTTTAGTTTTAAATATTACGTTTTCTCATTGACATATGCCCAGCGTATCATATCATGCACATTTCTAAAAGTATGATACAACAATGTTTGTTCAAGTGAGCAAACTATCAAATTTAAATTAATTAAATGTTTCCAAAAAAACTAATACCAAGAATCATGAGAATCACTAAATAACCGGAAATTAAAATCAATAGAAAAATAAAATAAGTTGCATTTAAAAGAAAGTACTTGTACAACATATAGAGATTGAAAGAGAGGTTCGGTTTTCATTTAACCTATATGACAAAAGATATGATCTTTAACTTTCGATTTGAAGTAGAAACATTCAAGCAGCTCTTTTATATGGATCATATACCTCTCTCATTTGATAAGATATTTCAGTGCTTATGTTTTCGTTTTTCGTAAATGAACGAAGTGTCATCTGCAAATAGTCTGCATAAAGACGTTAACTGTATAGTAAAATGTAAGACGACATCTACAGCGATTTTAGCAAAATTTCATCGAAAAATCTAAATCCAGCTGCATCATGATAGACTATATTCCATTCTCAATTTTATAGTGTTGACCAATAATTTCACTAATAAATGATCAAATATTTATCTCATCTGCGTTAAATCAATTGAATATGATACAAAAGATGACTCTAAGATGATAAACACCACTGCAGTACCTCTTTGTTTTCATTATAATGTCCCTTTTGGTCCATTTATACATCTTATTCCTTAAAATAGTAAACTTTTAGGTTAATAAATCAAAATTTTGGGGTAACTATCACACATTTATCTAAGAAAAATGATAATCAATGAGTATTTAAAGTGTTCAAGCTGAATCAATTATCCATATATAGGTTTGCTGACTCCATGGAAGTTTCAGTAAGTCCCAACGTAAAACTTAAGTTTACGCCGCGTTCTAGAGATAGACAAAGAATGGTTCCTATCATTAAATTATTTATTGTTACAGCTTCAAAAATCATTTCTTTTTCTTATTACTATACATTTATTAAAAAACTACTTAGGAAAAATGTTTTCTTTTATAACCCAATATAGGAAATAAGGTAATAAAATCAGATTAAGCTCCCCAAAGCACTGAGTAAGGTTTGCTCTGCCTACTAATACTCATGGTAGAGCCCTATTGGAAGGCAATTTTCCCTCAGATATGTTTCGGGACTCAATCCAATCAGAACATTTCATTTTTATAATAATTCATTGAAATAGCATGAAATAAAAAAATAAAAATGAGGGTACAAACAAGGTCAAAGGTGCATGTGGCACTTTTCTAAACATTTTCAAAAAATTGTGCAGAATATATCTTTTTTTCAAACAAAAAATACTTGGCATGAGTAAAGTTTTATCCTGACCAGAACTACAGTAAAAATTTAGCATAAGATTTCATAGCATATTAGATAATATCCATCAACGGATGTACACCAATCAAATTTTGAACCCATTTTTTTCAGTTGACAAGCTTTAGTAACAATGTCACCTCAAGTTTCCAAAATATTTTATAAAAACAACAAATAAAAAAAGAAAGATGCTTTGAAACACCCAAGATATGTGGAATTATTGTCAATGAGACTACTATCAACCATCAGAACACGTGACACGGGTGTAAGCCACTATAAGTCAGCGTTCGGTCTTCAACTTCAACAAACCCAATACTATAGAACGCTGAATAGTGTAAATAGTATGCAAATCATCCATTTGCATATGTTAATCTATTTCCCCTTTATTACAAGAAGACAAAACCGCAATGACAAAATGTAAAACAATTTAATTATTTTTTTAATTAATGAAAGAAAAAACAAACAAATAAGACAGACATCAAAAGCTGATAACCACGTACTCTTGAATTGGGACAGACATATAAAGAATGTGGCGGTGTTAAAAATTTCGTACTTTTTATTGAAAAATCAGTTAAAAAATTGCCATTTTTGGAAGGTTATGTTGTACAATACATTTTGCTATACCTAAAAGTCTTGATGAGAAATTAAGAAAGTTGCTTGTGCTTTAGTATTTTTTATCCTGCAATGGCCCCCAGGAGATTTAAAATCTATTTTTGACAAAAATGCACTTAACGCATTTGTCACAACTGTTACTTAAGGTTAACAAAAATATTTATGGAAAAAAGTGCACAATATTTAATAGTGCACAGAAAAAGAAAATATCATTTATAAGTTCAGTATAGAAAAAACAACAATGTCAATGGACTCATAAATGTTTTTAAATTTAAGATCGAGACATAGAACTGCTACCATGAAGCTACTGAAGATATTGAGCGCACATTTCCGATATGAAATAACATATCAGATCTATAATTATTACTGAGTGGATGGATTTATAATGTCGCTTAGATTTTTGGTATATGTTTATACGATTTTGAAACTGACCCTGTTTAACTGAATACGTTACTTTGTAAGAGTTACCTCCCCAAAGACTGTTTTTCTTGTGCGCACTACTTCTTCGCAACCATCTGAAAATTCCATATTAAAAAAGAGGGACGAACGATACCAGAGGGACAGTCAAACTCACCGATCTAAAACAAACTGACAACGTCATGGCCAAAAACAAAAAGACAAACAGACAAATAATAGTACATATGACACAACATAGAAAACTAAAGACGAAGCAACACGAACCCCACCAAAAAACTGGGGGTGATCCCAGGTGCTCCGGAAGGGTAAGCAGATTATGCTCCACATGTGGCACCCGTCGTGTTGCTTATGTTATTACAAATCCGGTAAATAGTCTAACTCGGTAGGTCACATTCGTGAAAAGGGAAGGGTATTGTGGTTACGACATAAGGAACATATCCGATATCATCTGTGAAACGGTTATTCCATAACGGTCAACCAACTCGTGATGGCGTCCGTAAAATTTATGAAGGGATGATTTCAACCAAGGTAGATGGATAATTTGTCAAAATGATGTTTATATCATGCTTTTTTCAAAAATATAATAAAAAGTATGGGTCACCGTGCTTTTTTTCACTCTACGGGTTGAGCAAAATTGTCAGATTTTGTATAGATTATGCATGGAAAACCCAAATTTGGGTGATAAAAAAAAAATACACCATAGAATTTTAAGATAAAATATGAGAATATAGCTCTAATAATATTCTTTCAGATAGGAAAAAAAAAAATGGGGTCACCGGACTCGTTTTCTTGCTACATAATAAAATAGGTAAATTCACAACACATTCTATTACAAAAGTTACTTTATCGAGTTATCTTCCCTTGTATCTGAGTTACATGTATCTACCCTTATATGGCAAATTGTTTTAAAAATGAATAAAACAAAAACAATCTAATTTTTGTAAAATACAGTTGTAAATATGATAAAACACATAATTTTCTTTATTAAAATGAAAAATCTTACACATGAATTACATACTACTATCGAAATTTGCACATTTCAATAAAGATCTAGACCGATTGTTATCTGCTTTTTTCAAAATCCAAGACACCCTATCTACCTTAATAGCTTCCCTGTGAGAAGCAACCCTCTATCAAGAAAATCATGATAGGAAATACAAGCCCGTGAATATCGTATTAATTAAAGTTATCTCCATTTATGTATTCGACATAAGTGAAATGTAATAAAAACTCATAAACCGTAAGAGATAGAGACATATGGTATTTTGATTTTAAGTCCTGGGTCTACCAAAAAGAAAATTGGGGTCAAGATCAAAGGTCAGGGTCATGTTTTAATCTTTTGTCTTTATTTGTCCATGCTACTCCTAAGAAACTGTAATATATATCGACAAAAGATTTTTACTAAATTGTTAGTTGCGATCTGTTGTAACAGCAAATTTTTCTTCGAAGCGGTGATGTAACCTTTCCAAGGAGTTTTCTCCCCTGGAATGTTGAAAATAAGATGCATGTTAATATAACTTATTAACCATACATCGTAGAGACCGAATACCTTTAAATATGAGGTCCTTGCATAATGACCTTGAAATTTAGGTCAAGGTCATAGGTAAATTTGTGGTTCTAGATTCTAACCTTTGCTTTAACTTCATATTTATACATGAAAAAGCCATGGTACATTTTGCGTTAGGTTGCAAGCCATATGAACTTGAATAAGCCCACCGGAAATGACCTTGTGCAAACCAGAAAAAGATATTTTTTGTACTTATTTAAGGTAAAAGTATACTAAACCATATATTTTTGGAATCAGTGTCAAGTAATCTATCAAATAATACCGGAAGCCGCATTTTTTCAAACCGGAAAATCTCCCTTACTTTAAAGAAAAGTGTATAGAAACGATATATTTTTTGAATCAGCGTACTGTAACCTATCATCTGACACTGAAAATGACATTTTGAACCGGATTTTAGGATTTTCATATCAAAATATGTGGTTTCGAGTGGAAAGACCTTCAATTGTTCTTTGAACAATTATTTTTTGTTTTATGATTTGTTTTGGAAGGAGGTGTTTGCAATGCTCTATGTTATGATTTCTACTTAGGGTTCTGTGTACATATGCTTGTTATTTATACGATTTGTTTGGTACTGTATTGTTAGTTTATCTTCTATTAACAGTTGTTGATGCCTCCTTGATATCTTCTTTCTTGGTATCTTTTAGAAAAGAAAAGTAAGTTTTTACGATTTTATTGTACGACGCATCAATAATATTCTTCCCATGAAGTTCTTCGATGGCAGCATACATACTCTCTATGGACATGTCTGAAAAACACAACACGATAAAGTACGAAAAGTAACGAAACACAAAAATAAATATAGAGTTTGAATGTCCATTATGTATCTTCTGTTTTTCATTTTCCGTACATTTCGAATATTTTCTTCTGTCAATAAATCTAACCATATCATGAACTTTTGTGACGTGAAATCAGCAATTTACAGTATATTCAAAAGGAACACAGAGTATAACTTTAATTAAAAACCCTTGATCATTATTTTGAAAGAATTTAGTATCCTAAAGCAAAATAGGATTTAGCTTATTTCTGAAAATAGAAAGTTTTCAAATATAAGTGACGACATTAGGCAATGACGGCATGTTCGCACAAAGCTGTTGATAAACCACAATTTACATTGACCGTATTACATGCAATCGGATTACTTATAAATATTATTACAATTGAAGTTAAATATTTAACGATGAGACTTACTGGTGGAACTTCGCAAACGTATCTGCTTACATCGGTGTCACAATTTGAGTCCTCCCATTGATATTGCGACCCGGCTCCGGGGAGTGATCGTATTCTCACACAGTCATTATTATCTGGAGTTGATGATAGGCCTGCTAAATAATTAACCGAAGATTTATTTCACATTTCAACTTAAGCAACACAAGATATTACAAAAACAATATAGTAGATATTCTTGTTAAACCATCCTACTAGAATAATAAACCAACTTCAAAGTATAGTTTTCCCCTTCTTATGGAAGATATTTCTGCTGTTAATTATTTATTCTTATTAATAACTTGTACCTTAACGTTATCTCAGAAGCACTGTGTATTCAAATGTTTTTTCTACAATGGATGGACGTATTTGTCTATGTTAAATCTATTTAAATCTAACAGACCATCTTAAGGCATGTAAATTTTGACCCTGATGATGACATCATTCTAGTAGTCCTGTGCCTTGCTGTGTTGAGATGTAGTATTATTGATACGGCAGATTTCTCTAACTTTACTGTTCATAATATGATCAGTTTTTTGCAATTTTGTTAAAGGCACATTCTTGTTAGTCTCTTTTAATATAAACCTGTTGTATAGACACCTATCTATTGTTGGATACCATAACTTGACTTAGATATTACTTTTATGTTTTTGTGTTGTTCGTTTGCTGTCTCTTTGACGTTTTTCCCACATATCTTTTTTTCAAAACGATTTTGGTCCTTTTTAAAATTGTATTGTGTAAGAATAACAGCAAAAGTCAATTACACCAAAATATTGATGAAAATGCCAAATTACTTATCTGTATTGTGTATATATTTTTGCCAAATTTTCTAACAAAAGTCAAAATTACCATTTCCAAATGGGACAGCAGACAACGAAAATCCACTATTTTCTATGATAAATGAAAACACGCCTTCCATCATGATATCATTTGCACCGGTCCACACAGCTATGCCTGTGCCTGCAAGAAAAAAAAATGAATTTAAATGAGTGTCATAGAAAATTAGTAACTAAACAAATAAGTAAAAACAAAAATACTGAACTCGAAGGTAAATGAAAAAAAGGAAGTCCTTAAAACCTGACAAAATCAAATGCTCGACTATGCCAACCAACGGAACGAATGGAAACAACTCTCATATTCCTGACTTGATACAGGTATTCCCCCAAAACAAGTTTAAAAAAAAATCCTGTCGAGGTCTCAAGGAACGAAACATTTATGTTGGAACTGCTCTAAAGCTTTATGGTGCGTAACCGTGACAGTGGACGGAGTAAAACTATGTTTGCAAGTATATGATATGGTTAGGTAATATGGAAAATATACATATATGATAAGATTCTTTCTCATCGACGACCTATATACATGTATCTTAAATCTCGGAAGATGTAAACAATACAGGACGCGCGGTTAAAAGAAAATTTTTGAAATGCACTGTATATGCGGTGTAAAATACAACGTACCATATAAGCATTTGATGCAGATTTCTAGTTTCTAGTATTGCTTCAATCGTCTTGGGTGAGATTTTGGTGTTTCGAATTGGATAGTGTCTCCAGATGTGCATGCATCACCAGCCATGCGAATCCAAACATTCAGTAAAAATGTTGAAATTGGAAGTACAATGTAGGACACAATAGATAAAATTACAGATTACAGGACGAAAACCTGTCGTCATGAGTTGAGACACAGACATATTGTATCAGTCAACCAACTCGTGATGGTGAAAGTAAAACTTATGTAGTGTTGATTTCAGTTGTTCTTCCTCATATTACAATTTATAAAGGTAAACGAAGAGTGCACATCGGATGCACACAAATCATCGGTTGTTTTTGCTTTACCTAACACTGATCCGATTTTGCTGCAGATTGACGTATAGCGATGTCATCAGCTCGAGAGTTCAGCATAGAAAAGATTAATAACATACCTTACTTATGTTTGCTTCATTTATATTTCGAAATTATTATGAGACTTAATCGATTAGTACAAAGTTGATCTTAGGTAATTGGCTTTTTGATATAGGTTTTTTATTTCATTTTTATAGTTCTACAGTAATCAAGTATAAATATATCCCTGAAATTTCATTATTCTAGATAATGATAATTCAGAAAAGCGCTTTGGACGCACCAAACACCCTTATGAAATGACTCCATAAGGGCTGAGACATGGAACAGAATAATGAGACTGATTCCGGGAGAGCTCTATCAAAATATGGTCTGCTGTAAGACCTTAAGTCTCAGAATTACCCTCTGCACATATATATTGCTATAGGCTCATTTCAACGCACTTTATGACAATACCACTGTACAAATCATAATGAGTTTTTTGAAGTGTTTTAAGAAATGATTTGACTTTGTATCAATGTGTTATTTGTGAACAATTTGTGGACGGGTGCCACATGTGGAGCAGGATCTGCTTACCCTTCCAGAGCACCTAAGATCACCCCCAGTTTTCGGTGGGGTTCGTTTGCTCAGTCTTTAGTTTTCTATGTCGTGTTTTGTGTACTATTGTTTGTCTGTTTGTCTTTAATTTTTAGCCATAGCGTTGTCAGTTACTTTCGACTTATGAGTTTAAATGTCCCGCTAGTATCTTTCACCCCTCTTTATATAAATTTAATATTTTAAAAAGGGCGAATTTTCTCTATGAAGTCAATAATTATGTAGACTTTTAAATCCAAACGAAAGATAAAAAAAATATAACAATACAATGCGACATGTTTTTGACATTATAGCAAAACTTGTGGTTGACAATTATTTTTTCGTTATTACAAAAAATGAACTTGAAGTAGCTGTCATTTTCTCCCTACCCAGTTTACCCCTATTACTTATTATGATGTGTACCGGTCATTGTTATTGAATCTTACGCAATTTGATTGGATTAAGTTAAATTAGTTTACCTTCAAACTGTTGATATTTATGTTTTTTATCGTTTGGTTTTTTTAAAGTTCATTCTTGTATTTTCTAAATGCTAATTGTAGAAAGACTGTTAAAACTCTCATCGATTACAGCCTAAAAAGGTCAAGTTTCATTTATCTGTCGAATATAAAAATAATGAATGTACATATACCTCAAGTAGAATAGAAACTATTCTGTATCATGACCTACTAATCTGTATCATGACCTACTAATGACTGTTTGACGCTCTTATTTCACTATTACTCAATACAAACGGATAGGGTGCATTTATAATAATAATCAATCTTTATTTCCGTTGAAATAACTTCAATAAAAAAGAATTAATAATACACTTACTTATACCTACTTTAGTTCTAACCGCATTGGCTTCTGCTACACTGTTTGGTCTCCACAGGTAAGCACCTTGTGTCTGGAGACAATTCGCCTGAAATGTAGTAGGATGAAATAAATACAATTTCTACGAAGTAAGTACTTGTCATTGTCAACGTTTATGCCTAGCCTGTATTTTTTCGAGATCAAGCACATAATATAAATTTTTTTTCATTAATTTTGTATAGGTTCCTGTTTCATCGACATATATCCCCATATCTTCTTTTATTCGGACTGCAATTCGGTGCAAATACTATTCAGTGATTTTGAACTATTTAAGATTTTGGTAGAAAAGAAATTCTATAAATTATGAATGTTACTGGTGAATCAGATCAAACCATGTCTATTTTTTTGGTCTTCGCTCAACATCCTTAAAGGCGTCAAGTGTTTTTCGAATATACAAATTAAAAACCCTTACATTTCCCGAAGTTGACAAGGCTTGAAACAAAAGTACAACAGTAATCTAATATAAAAAAAAACAAAAAAACACATGCGACATTATCATGAACACAGCACATAAAATGTGAATTAGGAAACAAATTATACGAAAATGTGAAATCAGGTATATAAACTCATCATAGATACCAGGATAACAATGTTGTACGCGCATCACGTCTACAAAAGACTCATCAGTGATGCTCAGATAAAACAAAAGACCAAATAAAGTACGCAGTTGAAGAGCATTGAGGATCACAAATTCCGAAGATTTTTGTCAAATACATCTAAGGTAATATATTCCTTTAGTAGAAAATCCGTAGTATTTCGAAAAATTCAAAGTTTTGTAATACAGTCTTCAATCATACTTCTAATCCACTGGTAACGTATAAAATTAATGAAGTCAGAAATTAAGAATTCTGTAATTTAAGCTGATAAATACCTACAAAATGTCTTTATAGTTATTTTATATTCTTCTCACAAATTAATTCAATGTAAAGCTCGGTTTTTGATTCCTGTTTGTTTTCGAGGGTACCAGCTCGTCCTTGAAAATAGTAATTAATTAGCATACTCACCAGAGCTTCCAGCCAAGGTAACCTAGTAGAACCGCTACCAAGGTAACAATTAGGACTAATCGTTGTGTCGTCCAACATCATGTACATTGGAGGGCATTGCAGAACACATGTTGCTATTTATATGAAAACCACATTTGTTTGAAAATTTTAAATAATTGCAATTAAAATGATGGCATAAAACAACATTACGGAATGAATGAATGAACATCGTCAAGTGTGAAGAACGTAACTAAGGCAAAAATAATAGCCAAATGAATGCAAATTTTATATAGAAATATAGAAGATACATTCATTACTTCCGACGCACTCAATGTGGGGTAGCACTAATGTACGTTATACATGTACGCATGGATATGTTTAATTTACACATCAGCTGATATTTAAACATAGAAAACAAACACATAGAAAGAAGAAAAAAGAAAGGTAGCAAGAAAACAAAAAATAAAACAAAAAAAAAGATGAAAAGTAAAAGAAGAACGGAAAGAAGAAAACAGATAAAATCAGAGAAATAAGAAAGAAGAAGAAAGGAATATACTTACACTGCAAGAAAAATTTAACATTTACTTGTAAAAGAAATGAATTACAATGTACGTTTATTACAAAAGTTTACTCTTGTTTCGTAACAATTAGCTGCAAAGGATCGAATGATTTCAGAAGACCTTAATTTTGATGTTCTGTTTAAATTTTGCATTTTGACTCAACATATTTATGTTGGTTTTGCGTTGAGATAATCGTGTTGTAGTAAGTTAATAATTTTTTTTTTAGAGTTCATTATAACCAAACATATATGTTCCTTAATTGTGAATTACAGTTATTAGTCCCGTGTGAATCACCAAACCAGGTGTCAGTACACTCCGGTACTTGCTTGAAAATATGAATATTATTTATTACCAGCGCAAATGCTCATGAACAGAAATTCGGTACTTACATGAAAATACGGATGAGGTTTTATGAAACTTTCGGTTTAAAACTTGTCAAAGGCATTTATCTACCTCATGCAAACCTCTCATTGTCCTCTTGTGAATGTTTTCTTTCTTCGATTTTTGTAGGAAAAACATTGTTTATCGAAATCCGCATTTGTGTAGTAAAATTAGAACTTCTTTATGTAAAAGGCTTCATCGAATCGAATAGGCTAAAGCTGGACTCAACAACACATTTTCTTTCGATAACAACCATTTGTAAGGCATTCTTAAATCAATAAAATTAACAAATAATTTTGCTGAAATGCTTGTAAAGTTTGTTTTCCTAAATCAACATGAAATCTCCTGAAGTATTTTTGCATTTAATGACCAGCAAATTGTTTTTCAGATTATAATTAACTCTATATGATGTCTGAAGTGTTTCAATAAAAAGAAAACGGAAAAAAAAATGTTTATTATAAAATTGCCAATCATCATTCGAAATAAATAGGTTCCAAATGATTCAGTGAACAATATATAAATAACACATAGCTGAGAGGGTGATATAGCAGATTGTTACCCCGAGAAAACATTGTCAACTGAGGCGAAGCCAAGGTTGACAATGTCTTATCGAGGGGTAACAATCTGCTCTATCACCCTCTCAGATATGTGCTATTCAATTTATTATACTAAATGTTCTGTTATTACTGTCTATTAAATTTCAAAGTAATAAACTATGTCGTCTTGTACATAACAATCATCCGTATTTA